CTTGCAAAACTGTGAACTGAGAGATAATATTATTAAATGTCCCTTTCTTACCATTCAATCCATTGATGGCTCGGTTTAAAAAAAAAGTTTTTAATCCCACCTATTGAACTATTGAAACACTCGCGTTTCTTTTGCGTGGTTGGTTAAATTTTCAAAATGTTTAATATTGAATATAAGATTTCAAGAAATTTTAAAACCATGTTATAAAATTGTAACTTTATTTGAGATAATTACTTCAATACCTCGAAACGAGTTGCTGAAGTTTAAATAAATAACATGAATATAATCCGACAGATGGCTCTAACTGTAAACTAACTTTCACTTGAATGATGCATATAATTGGTACCAAGTTTCTTCCTCAAATTAAGTAGTGTATGATATCACTTGATGTATAGCAAGCTTGAGTTTTACAAAGGTAAACATCAGTCATAATAAAAAAGACAATTGCGTTAAAACAGTGGAAATATTTTGAATCATGACTTGATAGCCAAGAAGGCAGGAAAACAAGGGGAAGTGGTGGAAAAATAACTATCCAAGGTCATTGGTAATTACCTGTAAATGATCCAGATCTTGATCATTGTGTTGCAACATTAAAAGGGGAATAGGATGTATACTCCCATTCACCTTTCTAATTTTGTCCCCAAACATCTTGGATCTGGTGGTGGAAGAAGTGCTGGAAATGAATTTAATGCAAAACAACTCCTGGCTTTGATATCTAATCTGCTCAGCATGGACATATACATTTTGAATGGCCATATGGTTGTTAAGAGCGAGATACCCGAGAAAGGTATTTCATGCTCCATTCTGAGTTCATTGTGCACTATAGGCAGTCTGGTGCTCACTATGGATGAGATTACATTAGAAAACATGTAGAGGTTTAAAGGAGTGGTAAGTACAGGTCAACAATATCAGGATCTGAGAAAGTGATGAGGAAGGCTCAGTTGGCCATCTACAGCTTACATTGTTATATAGAATTGGGTAGAATCAACTGTTGAAATGTCCTTTAAAATGATGGGGAAATGATCAATAACTCGTGTATCATTGTTCATCTCCAAATAAAAGAAGCGAAGGTAGTGAAATGGATAAATCAATGAAAGTAACACTTACGGTTGAAACATGAAAATAGATATAATAAACAGTATTGACAAAACACAGAATATGATTTGAGAACAAATGCCCCTCAGATCCCCTACTGCCTACTTCCACCATCTCAGAGTAGAGTATGTCTGTTGAAATATCCCATGATGATGGAGATGACAAATGCTTTATAAGATTATCAAGATCTGTTTGATCAACCTCCTCTCCTGGAAACAAGTGAAAGGAGCATAGTGTGACAACATGGCCAATGGTAGCATGGTTGATAGCAGTTTTAAGAGGTGTGGTGAATGGTCCAGTCATCGAGGGAATACGCTGATCAACCATCCCATCTACCCTTCATGAACTCATTCATTACACACCTTGATGAAAGAAACTGCTAAATGACAAAAGTATCGTCAGTTTACTGTAAGAATGTATCCACAGGATGGTAAAAGTCAATCAAGGCCTTGGCGTCACCTAAATTAGTATGAAAACATTGACAGTTTCATTGTATATGTATGGCCATTTCACACAGATCTAGGTAGTGAGTTTTTGGTTCGATTTTTACCATTCTTTTAATTATTATCAATGGTATATATCCATTTGCACTACCAATGTGGCAGTGGAACAAAATAAAGCACATAGCTTTATTCAGAAAGAGGTGTTACCATCTTCCTTGCCTCAAGTTATGATACTTTAAGGAGATTTTATCGTCTGTACTTCTCTCACTCCCTCAATACATTTAGAGTGTAAAGTATGAGGGATGGAAACCAGAGAAGTCGATATGGTGTCGATATAACTGACACTCATAATGACTGTGGACTTTGCCACTATTATGAGCACAGTCTTAAGAATCTAAAGAACCACAGCAAGATTTAGCACGTGAAAACTGTTGGTACTTAAAACACATGAGGGGGTTAAAATACATATCCTCAATTTGTAGTTCAAATAAGGTATAAGCAGTGATTGGTAGACCAAAATGAGCACCCAAGTTGGTTCAAATATACCGTTTTTCAAAATATATATATTTACTTAACATCTGAAATACCATGAATGTACAGTTTAAAAGGAAAGTCCAATTCAATTTTGTCAAGGAAATCCCTCTGGACAATAACTCCTCTTCTGATGTTCAAAGTACTGTGGGGGGTAAACTCAATAAGTACGTCCCCAATGGCTTTTGACTTCTAGAATTCATTAACCTTACATTTTGACCAGTAGGTTTCCAGACCTTTATTTATTTTTTACTGACTTTGTAGAGTCTGCAAGCCCCTCTAAGCCATTTTCTATTAAAAAGGGAGGCATCTTGAAAAGTTTCTGATAATGAATGTAAAGTTAGAAAATGAGGTAAACAAACAGTTTGAGATTGTGATTGTGCCTACTGACTAATCTATATGTGGTTATTTACTGGCTATGTTTTCTTGTTTGAGTACACATAAAGGAGAAAGAAAACATTCTCCACCCACTGATTCCACACATCATAATCCTACAGGTGGAGGTGTTACACTGCCAGATGCTCAATATGTTAAGGACAATGCAGAAACAGCAGGGTTTAATGGGCACTGCACCCAAACACCAGCACAAGATAATATTCATAAAATCCACTGAGGCCAATGATAATGGTACTTGGTTAACCCTAGCCACGACTGACCCTGAGGAAGCCACCGCAGGACATTTGGTCAACAGAAATTCAGAGTAAAAATAGTGTGTTGCAACCATCAGGAACCTCTCCTCCTCTATAAGTGTTGCCACACACAGTAAACATATGGGTGGATCTTGAAATCCTAAAGAATGAAAGCTTCTCAGGCAAAACCTCACCTAGATCCACCCACCATGAACAGGAATTCACGTTGAGGGACCTTATGAAGAGAAATAATGTGATGTTTACTGAGGACTGGGAACCTAGTAGAAAAGTCTTAATGTTAAAACTGTGCTTCCTGAACAAAGAAAAATATGGTGGTTTTACTTGGGACCCATTAGAAAACCTAGAGTTGGTGTCAGATACATCTCCACTTTTCACTAATGATAAATGAACACATAAAAATAATTTAAATACTTGGCTTCTAAATATCCACTTGTTTTATTTAGGTAAAAAAAAATATATATATAAATATTACACGTGAGCCGCCTTGTGGGTAGTGTTCTTCAAATGTAGTTGAAATATCATTATGATTTCTTTCTAGAAATCCTTAGATATGTTATTTATTGTTTAAACACTATTTTGTTTAGATATTTCATTACACTAGACATCATAAAAAAGATCATGCTTAGCTAACACTTCTATAACCTAGAACAACAAATGTACTTGGTGAAAGGCCTTGTTTACTGTGGTTTTATACATCCTCCTTACAGAGAACTCTGGTTGGTCCAATTAAATATGAGGATTATAATATTACTAGTCTCATTTTAATATCTTAGAGCCTGAGGAGTTTTTGGTGATCACGGGAGATGGCAATCGTTATTCAAAAAGCCAAGCAGCTAACCCACGAAGATGCTGTTTTAGATTTTGTTTGTCAAAATGATATAGTTAAATAAATCCTATTATGTGGGAATATCTTGATACATATTGTTACATAATTATTTTTTGTAAGAACAGAATCAATAGAGGAAAGTCTGAAAACATTAACAAAATGAGTATGAATAAATAATGTACAAGACTAAAATGAACAGTAAAGGTCTTTTATTGAACAGCATAAATCTGACTATGTAAATGATAATATCAGTATTACTCCGATTGGAAAAAGTATTGAGGTGGCAGTCAATAATTATAAGTTGTGTGTTTTTAGCTAAATGTTGTTCAAATGTTTGTTTCATAATGCTTGGCTTTTGTTAGTGGTCTTTGTAGTTATTGAAAATCTGAATTGTTAAGCTCAATTGGGTGAACAACTGTCTGGCACCTTGTTGTTTATAGGTCCCTAACTTTTTTGAATAGTTTTTTAAAACTGTATTGTAGTATACACCATTAAATAATACTACTAAGCTGACTTCAAAATAGTATATTTTTTAATTTTGAAATATGATAGTGAAATTTTGTATATAATTAGTTTAGTCTTTTATAACCACATAAGCAAGCCAACTGAAGTGATTGAACAATTAAACAATTTTATGGGTATTTGAGTCTATTTTACTTCACCATATAGTAATCTAAATTAATTTATGTATGTGAATAATGTTATGACATTTCCTCAGATTCGTTATTCGATATTATAAAATGGACCAATTGTTTAATGATTGTGTGTATATATATATATATATGTTAAAGATTTCTGTTATATAAATATGGCCTCTAAACGTATTTTCTGTTCATTGCATCAACCTAGAGTCAATGCTATCTAGTAAATCCATAAAATAATCTGGATTTTCCCCAGATGTTGTCATACAGGACTCTCCAACATCTTGAGGAAAACTGACATACATGAGGTGGAAATAACTGACTTACTGTATGTAAACATATAGTGGAATGTCAATGGACTTCATTATCACAATAATTTACAATCCAACACCTCAAAAGAGAAGTTTAAAAGTGAGAATCCACATGTGTACCAGCTGTAGTGAACAGAAAAAATGTAGAGGCCATATATGTACCTGCTGCAGTAAATGGGTTAAGAACACTTTAAATTCTTCAACAACTGGTGTTTACTGAAGAAATTATCAGTGACCACAAAAGAACACATGAAACTACAAAAGAGCATGTCAAAACATTTCCCATAAAACCTGAAATTAAAAATACTTTTCTCAGCTTTATGCCTATCCCTTAAATATGAATAAGGTTCAGACAAAAAATAGTATGAAAATTTCAAGGATTTTAAAATTAATTTTTATTACTTAGTTGTGCATGTACAGTGGTTTTCTTTTTCCCCATAGGGCAGGGGGAAGTCCCTCCCAGTTTTGTTTTCTTTTTTCTTGCAAGTCTGAAGGTTTTATTCGTAGATGATCACTTTTACCATGAAATAGCTAGGTACCATTAAAACTGACCAATTTCAACATACTTGTAAAATATCTTTAGGAATACAACCATATCATGTTTATATATACTTACTGTGTTTTTAACACTAAAATACTGCATTATTTACCAAATACAAGTTCCAACATGTATTATAATATTATATAACAAGCTTAAGTTAACAGCATTGATTCCATATTTTAACAATAGAATTTAACATTATTTTCTGACTGTATTAAAAATTAATAGATGTTGGCTGGGTACTAAAATTATTGGACCTGACAATCCATGAAGAGCTTCACTCAAACAAAAGGAACAAACCAAGTGTAGACTAAGACAATACTTTGAGTTACATAGGTTTCTAAGATTATAGTAGACATTCAGAGATGATTTTATCTTTATAAAGAAGCATCTGGTATTGAAATACATAATCAGCTTTCTCTTAAAAAACTTGTTATTTTGTATTCTTTTAACAAGATTTTAAGAAAATAATAATTTACAATGCCACTGTGATAAGACATTTAGTATTTTAATTAGATGAAACACATTTATTTTATTAAATTTTCTCCATTCTAAGTTTATGTAAAATAATAATACTGTAATTTTTAACTTCAACCCAAAGTGAAAGTCAAGCAATACAACAAAAGAACACATTCAGAGGATCACAAATGTTCTAATTTTTTTATTATATATATGTACTTTTAATAAGTTGAAACTTATCGACACTTTAAATTATCCTCATAAAACTCTGTACTACAACAGTATTAGTTGGGTATTTCAAACCCATGAAGAAAAATATTAACATAAAAAGTATGATATTGTTATGTAAAACTAGAATCATTTGTTAGTCACTGTCTATTAATCATTACATGCCAAAATTACATATCAAATACAGTAATGGATACTGTAGCCTCAATTTTAATACATATGTGCCAACTTCTAAAACAGCAATGTACACATATTCAGGAGAAAAGTTCTCAGTGTATAAGAAAATTATATTATTGGGTAAGTTGTTTTAGATAGAAAGTTTTATTACAACCATCGGAATTCTGTTGTATTTTATCTATTTTAATTATTAAATATCAAACATTTGTGAAGAAAAACACCGGAAAATGTTAGGTATATTTATATACAAGTACACAGAGAAAGAAGTGTTTGACACACATACATTTAGTATATTACCATACAATAGCAAATCTCATCAAATGATTTATAATGTAGTTGGCATCAGATATAATCAAGTATTATCTCATTAATATGTGTAAATAACAAAAACTATATGTATCATACTTTTTCACTTAATAGCTTCCAAATTCCCTTGGCTTTTGTTATGAACATAGTCTTGATGTAACTTTCCACATAAATAACAAATATATTTGGAAAGTTATTAAATATGAAAAACTTAACACAAGTACAGGTCAAATTAATTTAGAATTGACAACTTAATAACAGGACAAACTTTTAAGCTAAATGAATTTGACCATTTTATTCTTCACTTCCAGATTATTCTAAACACATTTCTTTCAGCATTTCCAACTGAGCTTTGAGTTCATGCATCTTCAATCCCAAAGATCGATTCACCTCTGTTCGCTGCGTCTTGTTTAATCTATTCAAGAGATTCTGGAACTCTTCCAGTGTTTTATTTACCTTAGCTTCAGCATCTTTCATATCTTCAGTGATATATACTGTTCCCAGTGATGTTCTCTACAGTACCAACACAGATAAGTATAATAAAACAATCACACAAACACTTTCAATATAAAACAGGAATTTTATTTACTTAAAATATTATAATAGGTTACTTATATACACAAGTGACTAGAGTGGTAACAATTAAAAACATTTTACTGTCTAGGTGTTGGTGGTCTACAATGTTACATGCATATGTCTATTATAACATAATATTTGAAAGACAAAATGGAGACATCACGACTGTACCAATAATTCAGTCAAACATCTACTTGTCTATATCAAGCTCTAACTCCCCAAGTTCAAAGAAGGAATACAATTCTCAACCAAAATCTTCATATTTACAAGATCATTTTAGGAAAGACCTAGCTATCACCCCATCAAGTTATCTAATCAAAGTGTAATCTAATAAAATAAAGCCTGCTTTTGCATTAGCATAATTCTGTGATACCTAAAACAGATATTCAAGTATTACTTTAAATTTGGAATTCTTGTCCTATACAAAGTCAGGCTTTTAAAAACTGTCTAATTCCTGTCATATACAAAGTCAGGCTTATGAAAACTGTCTAATTCCTGTCCCATAAACAATTCTTGTTCTTTCCGATATTCACAAAATCTTATGAAAAGTATGATTCAGAGAATCTTATTTCAAGAAATTGTATTCTTCTGATCATAATCCTACACCAATCTTAACATAGCATAACATTAAAGGACAACAAGGGACATTTTGGTCCACCCAGGCTGTCTTATCCACTAAGTTAAACTAAACACTAAAAACCTAAAGCCAACTTTTATCATTCAAATAGTTATCTAGCTTTCCCTTAAATTAACTGCTTCCATCACATTTTAAAGCAGCCAGTTCCAAAGGACACCCACCCACCCTGTTACAAAAGTTAGCATTTTCCTAAATTGAAAATATATATCCAATATTACTTATCTCCACTGACACTTATAGCTATTCCTTGACCTCCAGGGTTTCAACTTTGCCCATCCAAGCATTGGTCTGATTTTTTCTCGTTTCCTCCAGTCTTTTATACCCCACTCAACTGCCCTTGGCGATATACTCTCCATCTACGTTAAAGCGGCCTCTATCCTGGTACTGTATAAAAGCACCTCATTCAGATAATTTGATCACTTTTTCAAGACTGACACTATCCCAGTCTCTAGCACTGGCTCTTAGTGGGGAGGAAGGTTGGGAGAGTGTCAGCAGAGGTAAGTATTATTGGAAATACATTTTCAATTTAGGAAAATGTTAACTTCCAAAACATACTTACCATCCACTGACACTTATAGCTAGAATCCCATATTGAGAAGGTGGAGGGGCTGGTAAGGACATTATCCATACAGAAAGCAACTGCATAGATCAGGGGTGTACCAAGATAAAAGTGGTATCCAACAGAAGGGAGCAGTACGTGTCATACACCCTCAGAGGGCACTGAAGTGAGAAAAGAGGTGGTGGGATAAGAACATTCTAGAAGGGCAGGGTCGAACATTGGAAATGGGAGATAAGAACATAACATAATTGAATAACAAATCCCCCAAAGGGAAAAAGTTCTGGGCAAGTCTCCCAAAATGGCACTTGACTAAGAGGCATATTCAGGAGGGGGAGAAAGGCTGTCAAAATCCAACATGAAAAGATCACTAAAAATATTATTAGGAGAATCATCAGCGTAGTCTGATTGTAGCATGACCAGAGTCATCACTTCCTTGGTTGAGAATCTTGGTGTTAACTTGTTAGTCATGGTTGGAAATTCCTCTGCCACAGTAAGAGCAGTCATTGTTGTGACCACCCGAAACTGTCAGCACATAACTTCCAAAATTGAAAAAGGAAAAAAGATAAATGAAATAAATCGTAATTCTCCAAGAAACAGAACAAAAAGGTAAAAGAACAAATTAACTGAAGGAGAAATTCAGGAAAATAAAAACGTGTGGATAGGTTAATTAATCCGTAAGTGAAAAACATATCTAATCAGTAGGATTGCCAATCAAGAAATAATTAACATGTGCATGATTAGAGAGAGCACTAGTTATGATAGGGTAGTGTCGCACGCCTATTGGTTGAGGATTGCTGCATGATCATTTACATGCTAGTATGCAGTAATAAGGCTAAGGTTAAGTGAACATTTGCATCGATAGAGGGTGGTAGAAGTCAAGAAAGTTTTTTGTGAGAAGAGGTAAGATATCATACCGAATGTGAAGATTATTGGTGAAAACACATGTGTATATATGATGAAAAAAATATTTTTAAAGGGTAGCAACTTTAACAAAATACAGATTTGTTATCAACAGATCATATAGACATGAAATCACTTGTGTACTATTCTAATAAAGTTATGAAACATTCTGAAAAATAAATCAAGTATTAAGAAATCCTTCTTTTCAATTAGGAATTAGAAGTACTTTTAGGCTTACTGGACATTGAACTGAACTCTGAATGTTTCACTTCATGAATGACTTCAATAATCAGTTACTTCCCATAATGCAGAGTACAAAAATTGTGATTATTTTGATACATTGACCTTTCAGATCTGTAATTAGAGCATAATTAATTGATTTTTTTTTCAAAATATCATTATTGTAAGGCAAATTAACATTTGAAAACATAATGCAGATACATAACAAAACAAATGTTACCACAGCATCAATTTTGCTTGTAATCACCTATCTCATGCACAGAATTAACAGGGGAAGCAGTAAAGAGGGATGAGCTTGCCTAGAGCTGGAGCTACCCAAATATGTGTCTTAGTCTCCCCTGTTGCCTTTGCACCCAACAAAAAATGTTAACTGTCAAAGTTGGTTAACTTCATAAATACTACAGTGTGCACTCACAAGATCTAGGATTCATCCCCCTAAATTTTTTGTCTAGCCCACTTCATCCCCCTCACCAGGAAGAGGCTGGCACCACCCCAAAAATTAATCCGAAAGTATTTTACTCATTATTATTTAGCAAAACAAATCGCAATACAGAACCATTTCTAAGGAAACATAAGACCCAAATAAATTGCTTGAAGAAATACAGTGGCTAGAATTGATAAAAATTGCGAACACACTTCATCACTTGAATATTTGCATATTTGCAATTATGGCAAAACTACTAAGGCACAATTCCTAAATTTTAACAATTAACTATTAAGAAAGGAGGGCAACCAGTCAGCAACATCCTATCACCCATCATCCCTGTTATGGGGGGATTGTGATATTGCATGGTTTCAAAAGTGATTCACCAACTATGAATTCCGAGGCTCTACCACAGGACCACCCTAATGTCTGCAATCTAATTTAAAAACTTGATAAGAAGCAGAAACTTAAACAAAAAAACCACTTTTCCTGATAATCTACAGTTACTGTATCTAACTAGCTAAATATCCAAATGAGGAACAAATAAAATATATGGTGGACCCTGAACTACATGTACCACCCAGTTCTGTGAGGAATCTTCAACTTTTATAATACATAAAACATAATTAGATATTTAAATTGAAAATGTTTTATACTGTTAAATTCATTCAAATGTTTCAAACAGATGATGAATTTTCAATGTGCTGAAAAAGTGTTCTGGAACTTTTCTAATCAAATTTATGACATATTTGTATTTATGTATATAAACCAATAATATTATATTGCTGTATTCTTTATTAATTCTCAAAATACTTCAGTTCAACAAAACAAAAAGTTAAAGCATTTAGTCTATTTCTCAAACAAAATGATGTTTTGATGGCCAAGTGTTTAAAACTTATTTTCTTCAGAAAAACAAATACTCGAAGGTTAACATTATTATTTCTGAAATATAGCTTTAGTACTACTGAAAAGTGGTGACCACACTTACTGCTGATCGTCCAGGTGTTTCACACCTGTTCAAGTAATTTAGTAATACTGAAGTGTATGATAACACTTACTGTTGATTGTTCACAAGCTTCAATTCTGTTCAAGCAATTTAATGGTAGTGAAATTTGTACTCACACTTACTCCTGACTGTCCAGATGTTTCAAATCTGATCATGCTAATAGTGACATCACCATCTATTGTTATATACGTTATTCGTTGAAGGGGTAATCTGTGATGAAAATCTGCAAAATGTTCGCTATTCACAAATATCTAAAAAAAGAATGCAAAAATAAAAATGAAATTTGTATTTTACTGAATTATCAAAAAAATATTTAAAATTCAAGTATAAATTTTACTATAAAAACAGCTTCCAGATCCTAAACAAATAATTTGTAACATTTATTTCTAATATCTTGTTACTGATTTATTTTTCATTTGGTCTTTGCTCTTTTTTTACCATTATCTATGTAACACAAGCAAATTTGTTTATTATTATTCCATTATTTCATTTATGAATCTTTATGACAAAAGCAAAGTGTAACATCAACCATAAATGACACCTTTGTTAGTAAGGTTAGGTTAGATTGAGGGGCCCCAAAGCATAACTCACAAGATCCAAGTTGTTTCAAGTGGCTATCAACAGCAAGTGACAAAAGAAAACAGTAATTATTACTGAATATACAAATCAAATCATATTTTGCACCAAACCAACAGCCATAATGTTATGAGTTTAATTACTTTGTCATGCACTCAGGTGATTTTGCTCACACACCACAAGAACTGTTTGCAGTCTAATCCTGCAGGCCAGTGAGTTAACAATGAAATGACTGACATCTTGCTTTCAATCTTGAACTTGTCTTGAGGCACACAAAAGGTTAGGGACCATGTTAAGTTGGGTTAGGAATCTAAGGTCATACACAATAGATGCAGTTAACATGAAAATGGAAAAATATAAGATAAAAAATAAAGTTACAATGGTAAAATAATGATAATAATACAAACAAAGAAAAAAAAATGGTAGATATAAATGATAACAGTTAAATGACACTGCAAAAACCAATAGCTTTTAAAAAGGTAAAAATAGCAGCATCACCCTTTCCAACACAAAAGACTTGTAAAAAATTGTTTAAAATACTACCACCATTGCATAACCAAGAAAAACATTAAAATGTGGACAACAGACAACTATG